TTGAGTTCATCTCATGAAAAATGGGAGCAAAAACAAAAGTGTTGCGTTTATATTTTTGTTCAGTGTATGTAAGATTTTATACCTAGAAACATGGCGAAAATTGATATTTTAGGGCTGTTGACAGTATTTTCTGATTTATGGAGTGATAAAAAGAGATATCCAAAATCCCTTCTGTAAAAGCCTTAGATGCTAATATGACTACAAAATGAAATAAGAATTTTGAACCTGGCTTTATCAAAAATTCAGATTTAGGTTCCTGAAATGTGTTAAAATATGTGCATATTTAATGAGATAATGGATCATTTGCATATTCAGAAAACTTGTAATACAAAAACCAATTGCCTTATTGTAAGTAATTAACTGGAGAAATTTCTAGCTGATATCTTTAAGTAAAAAAAGATTACCCTATTCACCTGGGGTGTCTCGCCTTAACTGTTTAATAAACCATTATAGACCTTAGCAACAGCTGCACATGCCCACATGCTAACTATGGGTCTTACAAACCTACATAACATTACAAATAGTCAGAAAATATTATTTACAATATTAATAAAACTATGAATTCAATTGTAACTGATTGACAAGGCAAAACACTGCACAGCGGCAGCAGCATTAAAGGAAACATATCATCTTACCTTGTGTTGGGGCTTCAGGGTTTCCCACACATAGACTATACTTGGGCGGGCCGCCCAGGTATATTAACGGCCGCCCAAGTATATTTCGCGACCCATTTAGTTTTTTTTAGTTTTTTTATAATTTTTTTTTTTTATATATATTTTTTGTATTCGTCCGTGACCACGACGCCATCTGCGATCGATTAACTTGTAGACAATGATCCCTCGCTCCCTTGCTCTGATCTCGCCTCCTCTGGCCTGTTAAGTGGCCTGCCTGACACAGGGTGACTGGCTGTCCACATGATGTGGCCTGCCGACATGGCCACTGTCATACAGATCATAAATCAAAGCCCTTGATTGGTCTCTCTGTGTCATTCAAGCTCGGGATAACCTCAGCTCAGGTGAGGTAAAGGACTCTCTGAGTGTTTAGATAGTTAACTTAGTCTAAGTTCTCAGTGGGTCTCAAACGGTGTGGTCACCATTTATGTAAACACATATTTCCATTTGAGAGGGTAGTGATTGGTCTAATGGAGAGTGAGGTGGGCTGAAGATCGGAAGGCTGTGAGTTCAAATCCCGCCAGGAACACCACCACTAGTGTGCCCTTGAGTAAGGCACTTAGCCCTTAGTTACTCCAGGGAGAATGTCCCTGTAATCGGTCATTATAAGTCGCTTTGGATAAAAGCGTCAGCTAAATGAAATGTAATGTGATTAGTAAAATATGCATGAATAAATAAATAAAAAGTTAACTAGGTGAAAAAAGGTAAGATACCATTTTAAAACTTGTTGAGAGAAAACTAGTCTTTGCTGCTGCCTCAAAGAGGAGCAGGGGGGAGAGGAGGGAGACAGGAGAGGCTGATTCAGGAGCACAGACACACTCACAACTATAAATGAACCAAAACTAAATTAATAAACAAGTTTCAGTGTTTTTTTCATATTGGAAATGGTATGTTATTGGTTATGGCCTTGATTTTATGATTATTGAAATGTATACAGTTCTGTTTCATATAGGTGTTTCCATAGATCTAGTCTCTTTATTTTCCCCTCAAAATGCACCAGATTGATGCATTTAACTCCAAAATAAAAAATAAAATCTTACCGGGGGGGCATGCCCCTGGACCCCCCTAGAGGATTTGAGGTCGACCCCCACTAAAAATCACATGGATAGGTTCCTAAATACATTAATAAATACATTTATTTTTTTAAATAGTAACCCATTTCCATATGTTCATGTGTGGGTAGTAGATTTAAACTATAGGGCTATCATTATGGACCCTGCCTGTACCTGTACCTGTTCGCTCTGCCATCGCGTGAAGGGTCTGCTAACAAGCGACCAACAGAAAGGTTCATGTTGTTGCACGTCACCTCAACCCCCCCCGCTACCACCACCCCCCAAAGTATATTTCAGATCTGTGGGAAACACTGGCAGTTAATGGGCCAGCACCAGAGGCATTCCCATACACACAGGCGTTGGAGCTGTTCTTCATGAAATCCCAGAAGGATGAAGTGCTCTAACAAACAGTGCCATCTTTGCGCAAAATGATTATAGCGGAATGAAAAGTCAATAAATAATGTTGTTAAAACTTTTCTTTTTTTTCGCGCACCCGCCCCCTTGCCACCACCCGCCCAAGTATATTTCATATCTGTGGGAAACACTGGGCTTCACAAAACTCCAAATGTAGCCTGGGGTGGCACTAATGAAGACCCTCATTAGAGCAGATACATCCACATTGTCCTAAATGTTACTATGGACATGCATCAAAGTCAGATGTGTCAGTCTCTTCTGTGTCATATTACTCTAGTTGTAGAGGTGGTGGGCTGAGGAGTAGCTGGTGGTCCACTCTTTTTATTGGGTTGTTTGTTGGAGAAAAAAATCCAAAATCCTTTTTTGCGCCATTCTAGAAAGTTGTGACTCTGCAGTGTGTGTGTCGCGTCAATTACGCCACTATCCCACGACCTACGACCTAGATGACTCGGATTTTATTTATTTTGAAAATACATTCAAGCCACCTGACTGATACAAATATATACTATGACTATTATATGCTACTGCAGTGGTTCCCAAACGGTGTGCCGTGAGGCAAGTTCGGGTGTGCCGTGGGATTTTGTGACAACCATACATTATTATTGCAATATACAACTACACAAAAAATAATTACTTTTTAATTTACTATATCAATACTTTGTAGGTTTATATGTACGTAATCTGCGCGACTTGCGCGTCCACATCTCCACGTGCAGTGCTGCATAAACATGGCTGAGTCAGCGATAACTCTCGAGGGGTGGTGGAGGTATGCCCATTATTTTGAGTTCGTCCGAAGAATAGACAGGAATGTGACGGTGAGGTGCAAACTGTGTCCAGGCCAGCAGCTGTTATCCACTGCTGGAAACACCACGTCAAACCTCAACAAGCACCTGCAAAGAACACATGCTAAGGTGAAGCTATCGCACACGCTATATGTTGTTTGTTTATATCACGTCGTCTGTTCTTCTTCTGTCTTCCGGTTGTTGTCTGTTTTGAATGACAAATACACACTACCGCCGCCTGCTGGCGTTTTTTCATTTTTTTATTTTGTGACCTGTCTGGTTTAAATGAGTGTTGCTGCTTTGATGAAGCCTAATTTGATAAAGTTTCAAATTAATTTCTGAAATATTTCGTTAATAAATATGTCATGAGTAATATAGTTGTCTTTGTCACATTTTATTTGGCATTAGTAAATAATTATGCACATTTACAGATATTTTACATGATATGAGTGATAACACGTGTTATAAGGGCTATTTTGCACAATAGGTGTGCCTTGAGATGTTTACTTGTCCTTTGGTGTGCCTTGGGCATAAAAAGTTTGGGAACCACTGTGCTACTGTATACAGCACATTTTATTTGAAGTAAAATCATAACTATTTTATGTAGTTTAATCATTTTTATTTAGGTGGTCACTCAGTTTTTCAAATGTACACCACTCGCCAACAGGGGGTGCTGCAGCACCCCTACTTCCCGCGGCTATGCAGCAGGGGTACTCAAACTTTTTTGTTAAAGGTCCACTTGTGAATTTTATACAAGGTCAATGGTCTGGATCAATGCCAGTAAAGTCCCGGTGCGTCGGGGAACTCACGCAGCGTCAGAAAATAAAACCCTTTCTCTTTTCCTTCGTACCCAAATCTTTTAAAAACAGGGGTATAACGAGCGGATACAGATTCCATCCGATCTGACGTCAAATCGTCGGTGGACCCACAGAAAGTTGCTATCAGAAACAATGCCTGACGTGTTTTGGACATAATCTCGTCTTTGTTTACATTAGCAAGCCTCGCTAACACTAAGAGCTAACTTGTACTGTAGAGCACATGTGTTTAAAAAGCAGGAAATAAAAAAATCACCTTGTGATAAACCTGCAAGAGAAAAAGTATTTGAGCTCCATACTGTTTCAGAAATAATCCTTGACGTGGTTTAAACAGGATGGCATTTTATCACAACAGAATTTAACTTTATCTCCGGTAGAATTCTGATCAGACATTAGCTCCGTCTCCTCTTTTTTTTTTTTTTTAAGCTAAGGACCCAAGACCCGCGTTTCTCTAACGGGGCTGCAAAAGAGGGGTATGAGCAGTATGAGACATGGCTACAATGGGGGAAGGGTTTGGTATTTTAAGTAAAATACTTCACAGACATGTTTTGTATAGGTATAGCCCTACAATATATATTTCCAATATAGCATAATAGGTCCACTTTAATTTACATCAGAATCAAAACATTTTTTGTGTCCCATTTTTTTTTATAATGGGACACAGGGTTCGGTCCGGGTTGATTTGTAGTTCGGTCCGGAGTTTGAGAAGCCCTGCTATACAGAGATGCTGTATGAGAAACCAATGTGAGTTTGGAACATTGCACAGTATACATCTATTCTAGTAGACCTCAACAATGGAATTATGATCAGTGGAAATGGCCATGACATGGGACCTTTTTAAATATCATTGCTTGTGTTGGCTTACTTGACTATAAAGCTTCTGCAAAACAGTTGCCTATTAAATTGTAGTTTAGCCTATTATTGGCAAAATAAAAAATGTCTGTGTGCACAACATGACATTGACATCCCTTTCCCACCCCTTGGCCCTGGTGTGAAATGACTGCAACCCACTGTACTGTACTCTATGCAGTTGGAACATGTAATGTTACCCAATTTCTGATACAACATGGATCAAAACTAAATTATGTTGACATTATTATAATGGTTTGCATATCTTAGACAGGCACCTCACACATATATAAATAAAACAAATATATATAATATGCAATGCTTGAAAGTGGCACAGCTTGTACACATAGGTGTGAGCTTTAGTTCAGCGTTGTAGAAGAGCTGTAACAGACCCATCTTCTACTTAATCCTGTGTAGGTTTGATGCTGGGAAAGACAACTACATTGACCTGATGGAGCTGAAGCTGATGATGGAGAAGCTGGGAGCTCCACAGACTCACCTGGGCCTGAAGAACATGATCAAGGAGGTGGACGAGGACCTGGACAACAAGCTCAGCTTCAGAGAGGTGAAGCAAGAAGTCCAGATGAGAATCAGTCAGAGCATTTGATGTTCCTCCTGTCCAAACATTACTCTGTTCTTCCTCCTCAGTTCCTCCTCATCTTCCGGAAGTCCGCAGCAGGAGAGCTGGCGGAGGACAGCGGGCTCTGTGTCCTCGCTCGCCTCTCTGAGATCGACGTCTCCACAGAGGGGGTGAAAGGAGCCAAGACCTTCTTTGAAGCCAAAGTAAGAAGACTGGTTACACCAGTGATTTTCAAACTCTGTGTCAGGTGTGCCATGGGAAATGGTCCAGTTTCACTTAATTGGTGCAAAAAATATGATTTAATTGCTGCTAGTAATTTGCCATTGTTGAGCGTTGCTGCCTGCAATGTAGTGGCTGGCTAAATAATGCAATACTCTTCCATGCCAGTGGGTGGCATTAGGTAGCGCAATAATAACCTTGTTATTTTAAGACGGTTGACAAGACTAACAGCGATGGATACATATTTGAACAGATTCTGGACGGTCCTTGGACATAATTCTAAACCAGATATAGAGCCTAGTATGAGTGGTGGTCAAAAGACAGAGAAAACTGTGACTTTGGGGTAAATCTTTCACCGGGATCAGACATCACCGACACGGTTTGCTTTGTGTTTGGGGAAAAGCTGTCCCACAGTGCCATGGTCCCAAGCAGTAAATGTCACCTCCAAACGAAACACCTGTCACTTCAAAACAAGTAGAATAGGCAAACGTGTCAATTTGAGACTTTTTAGTTGTTGGTGTGCCGTGGCATTTTTTTAATGTAAAAAATGTATTGCAGCTTCCAAAAAGGTTGACAAACACTTGCTATTACAACAACACAGTCAACAGTTCATGACAGTTAATACACAAGCAAGTGTTTACGCAGAGGAGTAATAAAGTTCTACACCAGTGACCACCAACTGGCGGCCCGCGGGACACATCCGGCCCGCCAGAAATTCTCATCCGGCCCGCACGACGGGGGTGACTGTGGCGTTGGCGGAGTGGTTACTGCGTTCGCCCCCCACCCATTTTTTTTTTACAACGTCTCGTGAGTAAGTTGTAGTACCGGAGTCCAACAGAGAGGCAGCAGCTGCAGGACAGTAGACTGCGTACTGCGAAACCTTCCCTGCCTTGAAGAAGACGTGATCCTTCGTTGTGAAGAGTCTGGTTTGTGCGCTCCGCATCACAGCAGCAGCCCTGCTGCGACAGAGTCCAACAGAGAGGCAGGAGCTGCGGGACAGTAGCCTAGAAGCAGGGTTGGGTTGTAACGGAATACATGTAACGGCGTTACGTAATGAGAATACAACAATCAAGTAGGCTAACTGTATTCAGCTGGCGTTACATTTGAAAAACGAGTAATCTGATTACAGTTACTTTCGTAAACCTGAAGTGAATACATTTTGGAATACTTATTGGAATTATTGGTGGAAAAATGTCCTCACAAAATGTAATATTCATTACCGGCAGAACTGTGTGCACACTGCACGGCGCTGCAGCATGTCTGTGAGCGAGAGAGAGATGCAGCGTCTGTGAGGCCCCGCCCCCGCACGCAGATGAGAGAGATCTCTTTTAAACTATATTGAAAGTTAGAAACGGAGATGGTTAGATAAAATGTGCAAGATAACGTTTATGTAGAATTTCTTTATTGTCGAAATGATGACATTTCATAACGGGATCAAATCAAAGTGAATGGCCTGCTGCTGCTGAATGCATGGGGCAAGTGACTGGAAACAGTTTTAAAAGTTATAACATCGTTTCAGATAATAAATAATAATGATAATTCATTCTATTTAGGGGCGCCTTTCAAAGCACCCAAGGACATCTTACAATTCATAACATATTCTAAGGAAAGGTTTTAAGACAGTACAAAGAATGCAGTCCGGTGATGTGTTTGATGTGGGGTGCAGATGAGAGAGCTGTCCAGAATGACACCAAGATGTTGTGTTTGAGTTCTTGATAAGCCATTAGAACAGTAAAATACGTGTCTCCTGTTCACTAAAACATACCCATCTGTTATGGAAAAAGAAAGTAATCCAAAAGTATTCTAAAAGTAATCTGAATAAGTTACTTTTTTAAGACACGTAACTGTAACTGTATTCTGATTACTTTCAGAGCATGTATTCAGTATTCAGTAACTGATTACATTTACAAAGTAACCCTCCCAACCCTGCCTAGAAATGATCCGTCGTTAGCGTGAAGAGTCTGCTAAGCTTTATGCAGTACCTGTACCCCCCCCCCCCCCCGGCCCGCGATAGTGTCTATTGGATACATTTTGGCCCTTGGACAAATGTAGTTGGTGATCCCTGTTCCACACACACACACCACACACACACACACACACACACACACACACACACACACACACACACACACACACACACACACACACACACACACACACACACACTCATAGTCCAACCTACACAGCAGCAATATGTTTGTTGCTGTGAATATGAACTGTTTTTATTGGAAGCAGCAATATATGCTTTTACTTAAACATTTCAAATACATACATAGATCACAATAAATATGCTTCACTAGTACTACTCCATCCAAAATGTGGTATGTTAACATAGCGTAACATACTATTGCAGGCTTTTTATGTTTTTTAAACTAATGACTGCAAATGTATATTGTGTAGACCCAGTGGTAAAGGTGAAACACTGGCTCTGAATAATGATGATGTATTGATCTATTACAGTTGTTAGTTTACCCCTCGATAGTAGCCCTATCAATGGGAGCAGCTGTTGTACTGAACTGTTATCATGATGGTCTTTAGGGGTGGTCTTTGCTGATGTAACGCTCGGTCCTCGGCTCTCTCACTGCTGCTGTTGTTAACACTTCTAATGTATACACTTTCGTCATGTTGAAGCCATTGCTTCATAAATAATATTGGTCTCCGAAACCTGCACACTCTACTGCTCTTCCATTGCTGTCCATCAGGTGTCCTCCCGCCCCTTAATCTGACCCAATACTCCATCCCCTGACTGCTGTGTTTGCTGCTGCACAGGTCCAGGCCATCAGTGAGTCCAACCGGTTTGAGACGGAGATCCGTCAGGAGCAGGAGGAGAAGAAGAAGCAGCTGGAGGAGCAGAAAGTGAGACGTGCTGCCTTCAAGGACCTGCAGTCAGCCTTCAAGTGATCCAGGAGCGGTGGCTCTGTGTCTCATGCGGTCAGTCTGTTGTGTTTGAATGCTCCATGTGTGTCAGACAGTGCTGATCCAGAGTCAAAGTGACTCACACACATTGGTCACTAGTCTACCATACCATGAACTGGGTACTTTCTGAAAATCAGAAGAAGAAGAATAATTGATTGATATAATTGTGTGTTTATTTAGCTCCGCTTCTCAGTAACTTTCTCAAACATGGAAAATAAATGTTTAGTGCAAATCTAGCAGGACTGCCATGAATGAGAGCAGTCTGTGCTGGGCTCAATGAAGGAGGGGTTTAAAGTACCTGTCATCCTCCACTGTGCACTTTGTGTTCACCGGTCACAGGGCTCCAGTGAAAGCGGTTGGAATGATTATCAACTGGATAGCTTTTTAACATAATCCTGCCTGTTAGTAAAGGAACTGCTGTGCAGTGTTTGGTGTCTAATAAACCTTCTCTCATGGATGTATTCATCCAGTTGGCCTTCCCGACACAAAACACACACTCACACCAACAAAGTGACAATGTGATGACCCAGTGTTCAGTTCTGAGTGTGTGTAGACTAGTGATGAATGCCCTTGTTCTGCTGCCCTGCCTACATGTGTATGTAATATGTCTTTGTATATGACCTTGTTGGACTACTTTCTATTTGACTCATTCCTCAGTGACACCTGTCACACACCATTAAGATAGTGTTCAATGTTAAATGAATAACTGAGCTGCACATTTTTACTGTCAGCTCTGTATTTTTCTATTAGGGGTTAGATGGGTATTTAGTATGTTATTCAGGCTGATTGTGGTGTGCTATTGTTCAGCACCTTGTTTTGCAGGAGCTCTGTAACTTAAATAAGTGTGTTTCCTATCTCGTTCCACTCACTATTCCTCTCCCTCAGCTCAGTTAACAATCAATTCACCTGCTGAGATCTGGAGCTGTACTGTCTTATTGGGACTTTGTGCAAACCACATGAGCCATCGGATCAATGACAATCAGATCATTGAGAATCCCATCAGTCAAAAAAGAAAAGTTACTTTATCTTCTCCAAGATCATCCAATCTCTGTTTTTAAATTGAAACCAGCCTTGAGAAAGTGCTCATCTTAATTACTGCTCTCACTTCTTCTTGTGAAATTCTGCTTTTGTATTGATTGAAAGACTCTTTTTTTGGTTGTATAAATATGACCGAAAGCAGGTTCAGACCTTCTTTTCACAGTGTTTGAGACTTCATAAAGCTGAACAAAGTGATGGGGGAGCGGGACCATCCAACAACTGTTTATGGGATCTTAACAAAACTTGAATTTTATCAGCGGTATTAAAAAAAGTGAGTTACTGTCGTTTTCCTGCTAACTCTCATCCTTTGCAAATACTTGTTTTCATTGACGGCAACCGTGTTTTCAATTTGATCTTGCTTATTTGTAATATAAATGTTTATCCCTGTTGGCCATCTGACCCAGGGCGGGGGCCTTTCAACATTTCTATTTTGTGGCTGTTTATTAAGCGCCTCCATCAATCCAATTAGACTCGTATTGAATGGGAAGCATAATAACATTTCAACTGAAACAAAATGATGTAAACAAGTCTTTCATTATTCTGTCTCCTTAAATAGTCATCATGCTGAGGACTATGCCAACACTGTATTATTAAGCAGTAGGGAACAAAAGCTTTCATTCATTTCAAACTCTTTATTAAACATCGCCAAAATAGAAAAAAACCACAGTGCTCTGAAGTTCTGACAAGAGGGCTAGGCTCTCTTGGGTGGGGAAGACAAACGTTTTATAAAGAAGAGAAGGACATTCTAAAAACATGGACACCTCTTCATGTCACACACAGACTGCTTACACCTGAAGGGGGAGCCAATAAACTGACCGGGGCAGATACAAAGTATGACCACTAGGTGGCTCCTCTGACCATGTGAAGAAGGAAGAACAAAATCAGTCTCTTCCTACTGATTTACCCTCATTTCCTAAATATTCAAAAGAATCATGTTTTTTTGGAAAAATAAAAAAAATTCATTTCTTTATTATTTACAAATATTTTATCGCTGTGTCTTCTCATGTAGTTATGTACAGGATTATGCCAACACTGTAATATATATAGGGATTATTCTCCAGCATCATCCTTCTATGTTCCTATTGTTACCAGAGAAGTGCCAAAGGTTGAACTAAAGTCAATGTGCCCAGTTGTACTCTCCTGAAACAGAAATCATATGAATTGTAGTACGGTTAGCTTTCAGCCATGGTCAGGTCAATGTATTGTTGGTACAGCATTCCCTCACAATACTCCTACAATCATTTGAAGTCCATCAGTGGCCTGGATGTCTTTTTCTGCTGGGGACATGTTTCCAGCTGCTCATGTAGCTATGAAAGTTAACTCACCTAAATATCTGACAGAAAGTCAATGTTCACTGTGACAATCTAAAATCTGTGCTGGGAGTGATCAATACCAGGGTACGGTTTGATTACGTTTTTCCTTACTTTGTTGTAATATGTACATTGGTACTGTCTTGTATGCTGATCAGATAATAAAAAACGGTATTGCTCCATCATTTTGACTTTCCGATAACATGCATCTTTCTCTCAATAAATTGTCCAGTGTGTCATCCCTGTGTTTCAGTTGACAGGAGAACAGACAGAGAACATGGAGGTTACCCATCCATTTGTTTTGTCCTCTTTAGGTCCACTGATAAAACATGAATTGAAAATATTTATCATTGATAAGGATTGTGATTTATTTTGAATTAGTGTCTTAAAATGTGATTCATCACAGAGTCAGTCAGTTGTGTTAACTTGTCCTATTTAGTTGTGAAAATCAATCTTTGGACTTTCTCTTTTGACATTATGCTACACAAGTTCATTTAATGACATTTTCTTATGTCAGTTTCAAAACGGTTCAATTTAAATTGTTCTTTCAAAACAGAACACACCATTTATAATCCTATGTTCAATACAGTAATGTGCTGCCTGAATGTCAGGGCATGTCAATGACATCATCAGGTAACATTCAGAAACATTGTACATACTGCCTAAAGGAGAATAAATGGACAACAAGTCTTCTCCTTTGTAAACATATGTTTAATTGTATTTAAATTGACTGAAAATGTAATTCAAGTAAACTAAGAAAACCAATGTCCTTACTATTTTACAAATAGGAGTTAGGTTTACCCTTAACCCTTGTGCCCTCCTCAAGTTTACTACCCTCTGGACACCTTTGTGGCAAAAATGTACACGCCCAGAAAACTGCTATTAAATCATCATACATCAATATTTTGTTCTGCTTTTCTTTTCTTCCGTAAATCATTTTTAACAACTTCTAACATGCTCAAAACTACCAACCATTCAATCATTTTCTGGATTTTAAACCTTTTAAATGCCTGTTTAATTATTTGAATTATCTCATAATTTATTACAAAAAAACACACAAAACTACATTATTTTCAATATAATAATTAGTAGGGGGATGGGGCTTTGGTGGTTATTAGAGTCTTGGATGTGTCTCAGATACTACCTCTGGACACCTTCGTGGCCAAAACCCTTGTGTGTTGGTCCTCAGCCTTAATGACCGCCAAAGTGACAAATCAAATGCTACATATTTTCAAATATATTTCATCTTACATTTCCAGAGTAACATTGTGATCTTGACTTCCATCTTGTGTGTGTGTGTGTGTGTGTGTGTGTGTGTGTGTGTGTGTGTGTGTGTGTGTGTGTGTGTGTGTGTGTGTGTGTGTGTGTGTGTGTGTGTGTGTGTGTGTGTGTGTGTGTGTGTGTGTCATTTCCAGCTGCAGACCAGCGGGTCATGCAGCATGTGACCTGGTGCTCTCTCTCAGGTGGTACAGAAATATTTTTTTTAGGCCTGTGCACAACTAGCACACACCTCTCCTCCCCCTGTGTGTGTGTGTGTGTGTGTGTGTGTGTGTGTGTGTGTGTGTGTGTGTGTGTGTGTGTGTGTGTGTGTGTGTGTGTGTGTGTGTGTGTGTGTGTGTGTGTGTGTGTGTGTGTGTGTGTGTGTGTGTGTGTGTGTGTGTGTGTGTGTGTGTGTGTGTGTGTGTGTGTGTGTGTGTGTGTGTGTGTGTGTGTGTGTGTGTGTGTGTGTGTGTGTGTCTCGCCACTGTCTCCGGCCTCTGCCCATGCTCAGCCTCTGCCCTGCCTGCTGTCCGCCCATTCTTGCCTTCCCTTGTGTTCCTGGTCGGTTCGTCGTTGTTTTTCGTGAGGTTTTGTTCTGATGTCCTGTCTGGACTGTGCTGAGGGGCACCAGAATAGTGATTCCCACTGCCCGACAAGATAGAGTGCTACAGGTAGCTCATGAAGGACATCAGGGTAGTGATGGGCAAATTAAGCTTTTGTGAAGCATTGAACAACTTGGTACAATTGTTTCGAAAATGGGTTCATTCCTCGCAGCTTCAGTTACAGCGACCTCGCCTGGCGAAGTGCAAGGCAGCAGTGGGTTTAAAGTATCTTAGCATTACAAATATTCGATACACACAGTAAGTCTGAATATGATGTTCTATTTGCAATAAAAGATTGATAATTGTGTGCATTGGCTTATTGAGAAGAGAGTGCTGGAAAATGTGGCATTGGTTGGGTGTGCTTGTGTAATTATGGCAGGGGATGATTATGTGGGATGGGGAACACTCAAAGATCTTTATTGCGGTACATTATTGTTTTTATTTTTCTAAAGGCATTCTTTTTGCCGGAGAGGGCCTTTTATCAGTCATGTGTAAAGATGATAAACGGGCATTGATTAAAAGTTCGTCCAGCCCAGGACTTGAACCAGTTTGACGGAGGATGTCACCATACGTGGGCCGCCAGCTCTATCCACTGGACTATCCATTCATTTCACTTTCACAAGTCCTCATGGTCTTTTTTGTTCACAACTTCTCCACATTTTGAAGTGTTTGTCGAGCCAGAACGACCTATCTTCCTGGCTTGTTCTATAATGATCCAATACAAAACCAACAACAACTCAACAGCGCAAACTACGACAACAACCCACACATTGCGCATTGTTTGTTTTTTTAGTAATATTTGATTTATAGTTTTCAGGTTTATGTAACAGTTAAACATGACAACAACAACAACAACCAAAAAAACAAAACATGTAGCATAAAAACGCAAAGCATCCCCCCCTATAACACTATACATTGACGGGGAAGGGGGTAGCAATAAAGATAACACCATTTTACACAACATAACAGAAATAATATCGATAGCAGCGTCCCTAGCAACCATCTTGGTAACAATGAAAACGTTGAATGGACACAATTTCCTGAAGTAATCTTCGTAATAACTAGCAAACTAAAGATCATGTACACCCACTGCACACATAATCTGAAATAACAACTCATATTTCTCGCATGAAATGACATCAAAACGCATTTTAATGACTAAACTAACCTTAAAATAGGCATTTTACACCGAGAATAAAACGAAGGTCGGCCATGTTTTTTTTTCTGCAGGGAGAAATTTGAAGAATACGTGACATAGAAGCCAGCCATTGGAATGAATGGTGAAAAAAAACGTAGGCATCTTACAATTTCAGAGGCGTTTTTGTAGATATACTACGTCCTACGTTGTGGACCAACGTAGTTATTACACGTTTTTTTGTGAGACTGGGTTGGGCCACCTTACAGTTCCATATAAACTGTCTAACATGTTTATTGAGGGTTTAAAAAAAAGTTTGAGGCAGTTGAATGGGTAAGGACCGGAAAAGATACTGTAGCCTTGGTAGTATATTCATTTTTACACAGTTAACTCTGCCAATTAGAGTAATGGGTAAACTCATCCACCTTTGTAGATCACTTTCAATTCTACTGAGCAATGGGAGGTAGTTCAGTTTGTATATATTTGTAAGGTCATTATCTATAGTTATCCCAAGATATTTTATATTATCAACCCAGTTAAATGGGCTTGTACGTTGATACTCAGTGTAATCAAAGTTAGTTAGTGGAATTATTTCACTTTTCTCTTGGTTTACCTTATATCCTGAGATAACACCATAAGCATTTAGCAGGGTCTGTAGTTTGGTGAGGGAGTTACCAGGGTCTGTCAAGTACAAAAGTACATCATCTGCCAGGAGATTAATTTTATGATTTGTCAGATCCACTCTAAAACCCTTTATATCAGGATCCTGTCTAATTGCTTGAGCTAGGGGCTCAATAGCCAAGACAAAAAGCCCTGGAGACAGAGGGCAGCCCTGTCGGCTTGATCTACTCAGGGGAAACGCGGCAGAGATCTGACCATTAGTACTCATTTTGGCCCGAGGTTGATGATAAAGAGTTTTAACCCAATTAATAAACAACTGACCAAACCCAAACTTGGCCAAGACTTTAAATAAATATGGCCACTCCAGCCGGTCGAAGGCCTTTTCAGCGTCTAAAGCTACAGCTATACTGGGCTCAGTCTTTGACTTTGTTAGGTGGATAATATTAAAGAGCCTACATAAGTTATCAGCTGATGAACGTTTAGAAATAAAACCACTCTGGTCCGGATTAATTAATTGTGGCAAATATTGGCCAAGCCTGTTAGCCAGGGCCTTAGATATTAATTTATAGTCCGAATTCAATAATGAAATAGGTCGAAATGAAGAGCACTTGAATGGATCTTTATTTTGTTTGTGGATCACAGTGATTATGGCAGTAGAGAATGATTCAGGCATAGTTTGAGTTTTTGATGCTAAGTTAATTACATCCATGATGAGTGGGGTAAGTAAATCCTTAAATTCTCTGTAAAATTCTGGTGGGAAACCATCTTCCCCCGGCGATTTATTAGATTGCAATGAGCACAAAGCCTTTTCAATTTCTTTGAGTGTAGGGAAGATCAAGTTTATTTTGGTCTTCCTGATCAAGCTTTGGCAAGTCAATAGTTGACAGGAATTCATCAATTTTAGTCAGATCTTCTGGTGATTCCGATGTGTATTCATTTGCATAAAACTGTTTAAATGTGTCATTAATTTCTACCGGGTTATGTGACACTGAACCCGCTTCAGTTTGAATTGCGTTAATTGTTCTTGAGCTTTCCTCTTTCCTCAGTTGCCAGGACAGAATTGTATGTGCCTTCTCTCCCAATTCATAATACCTTTGTTTAGTTCTTAAAATGGCTTTTTCAATGTTATAAGTGTGCAGCGTATTGTATTTGAGCTTCATGTTTAACAGCGATTGGTGTAATACCTTGGACCCAGATTGTTGAAACTCCTTTTCCAATTTCAAAATATCCATTTCCAGTTTTTCTATTTCTGCCATATATTTCTTTTTAATACCTTTTGTATAAGAGATTATTTGTCCCCTTAAATAAGCTTTAAGTGTGTCCCATAATATAAAACTATTGGGGGAGGAAGGACAGTTAGTCTCGCAGAATAGCTTTATCTGGTCCCTAATAAACATGCAAAAATCTGGTTTTTGAAGAAGGGTAGGGTTCAGTCGCCATCTATATGAGTTAGTTGTTTTTTCTGGCATCAAAATAGAAAGGGTCAAAGGAGAATGATCAGACAGGGTCCTAGATAAATATTCAGATTCCAATGTTCTATGAACTAGCTGCGTTGATAAGAGAAAAA